CAGCCACTTCATTAAAAACTAGAGCAGACCAGGTCCCTACACCCAGAAAGGTTTCAGAAAGGTTTCATGACTCATTTTATTAAAAACCAATCTATGACTATTTAGCGGCTTTTACATCATGAATGAAACATCAGAGATTCTGAATTCGGAACTCTTAGGGAACCAGCCCACAGAGTTAAAAACAAAGGAAGATGCTCTGTTTGTTTGGTCAAGGTTGCTAGACACTGCAATGCATGGAAATGTGTAGCTCACACTTCTGATTCATCTCCAACAAAATTGCAACAGCAAAAAGATTCAATTAAACCTAATAAATGTGTAATTAAATAACTGCTGGGGGCAGAAGCACTGGGCCAGGTGTCTGGGGGTATACAAAGGGGGATAAGATAGGGACCGTGCCCTCAAGGCACTAACAGATGGTGCGGGGAGAGATGGAGCTCTGATCTAGTGGGGATGGAATCAGAAAAAGCTTCGTCAGGAAGATAGCATCTGAGATGGATCTAGGAGGCTGAGCAATGTTTCAATCGGTGGAGATGGGAGAGGTAGCATCTGGCTCTCAGGAATCATGGTGGGAAGAGTTGCTAGGCAGGGGTTGTGTGAGAGGTGGAAGGGACTCCACAGCACAGCCCAGCAGCCCATCTGGAATGAATGCTTGCATGGTAAGGTTAATAGCTTGCAGGGTGTGACTCCTCAGGAGATGGGTCAGGGTGGGGACAGTGGAAGAAGAGGGAGAAAAGAAGAGAGCACGAGGGGCAAGGCAGTGATAGAAGCCTCTAAAAATATCTAGTGCCTAATCCAAGCTGTGGTCCAGCCAAATCTGCTGCTGCTGCGTAGGATGGGAGAACTCACAAGAGCAGCACAGGTATATGGCCTTGAGCTGCACGAAAAATACAGAGGGCTGGGTCCAGGACCAAACTGTTATCTGGAAGGGTTGTAAAAGTTCTAGGAGACAACAAATTACTGAACACTTCAAAGGAAATGATGGGGGATGTGAGAATATTTCTTTGTGTGTTTTCGTTTGGTCTCTCAAGTATGTCATAGGTTGAAAAGAGCAAATTATATCTTTGGGGATGGGTAGACCACTCTCTTTATCTGAATATCTCAACTGTTCACCCTACAATATCCATCTTCTCATATACCTCTTCCGGCCAAGAATCAGAAGAATCTAAGGAACAGCACCCCATCTTAAATGTGGCCACGTGGGGAAAAGAGGCAGCCCTACACCCCCACTCTGCTGCCTGAGCAGCTTTCCAAGTTGAGAGGGAAACGAGAAAAGATGGCTCTTTCTTTTGACCTCTGGCACAATCCCCCTCCTACCCCATCCCCCAGTTCAGGTTCAGAAGCCCTTGCTCCAAGGCTGTGTCTTGGTATGTGGAGTCCAGCATACCTGGCAAAGCACCACAAGTAACAGTCCCCAGCAGTATATTATATGGTTTAAGTTGATAAAATGATACTTGTATATGAAGGTGCTATTATTTTGCAGACAACTGCCCATGTGTAGCGGAAAACACTCCAGCAAACAGGCATATCCAGCTTGGTAATGTCTCTGCTCATCTTTAAGCTGCATTGTTAAAAAAGACTGAAAAGTGTGGGAGCAGAGAGGAAGGCAAGACCGGCCAGGAAGCTACAGTAATGCAGCATCCATAGACTTCAACTGATATAAAGACTTTAAAAGTCCTGAATTTGGATGAGATTAAAAATGGCGGTGGAGTAAGTGGAACCTACACTGACACTTTCCCAGGACCAAACTGGAAATACTACTAAAATACACGAAAGCCACCCTGAAAAACAGGCCAGCAAACAAACAGAAAGCCTAGCCTGTGACTTGTATTCTGTCTCTACTATTGGTTCTGTGTCAACAGCTTCCAGACAGTTGACATTGAAGTTCTTCTGCTTTGCTTCAGAGAATGCCGGGGACCTTTGCTCAGAGGAAGCCACAGTGCCTCAACCTGCTCAGTCCCCACCATGGGCTGTGCAGCTGGGGTGCTGGCTGCAGGAAGTCCTTGCTGGTACCTTGGGCCTTGGAGTCACAATCCCATGAACCCTTCAGCATCCCCTCCCTCCCTCCCTCCCTCCCTTCTTCCTTCCTTCCTTCTGTCTTCCTCTACTTTCTTTTTCTCTTTTTCCACCTCCTTCTTCAAATATGCAAATACTGACTTCTCTCTCCCTCCCAGCCCCTTCAGTTCTTTATCATTCATCTTCCTGCTCACCAGCATCTCCTGTTCAACGAGATACATCAGAGTCTTTACAGAGCAGTAATCCCTCCGACTCTTGGTACCACACGTACAAGAAACCCATCCTTGAGCAGGCAGGGAGAATTACCAGTCATAAATACAATACGAAGATGAATAGAGAGGTCGTCTTTCATAGTCAAGGAAACTCTGAGCTCTCTAAGCTTGAAATAGTGGTCAATGACCTTCCAATGGGCTTCCATCCAAGCCTTCCACAGTACGGCCCCCACTTGCCTTTTAACCCTGTTGCCCTCTGCTGGCTGAATTGGAGCCTCTACTTCTCGCCATTGTAAATGCAATGTATGCATTTCAGACTCAGGGCCCTTTTCAGCACTCTGTTCTGTTCCTTTCTGCCCAGATGATTTCTTCTTTCTTCCCAACCAAGCCAAATGGTTCTCATCTATCAAGCACCAGACCTACAACTCACTCCTCCCACAAAGCCTCCTTTGACTGCTCTGTCCCACTGGGTGCCTTCCTCTCGGGCTCCGATGGTTTAGGATTAAAGCACTCTTTTCAGGTTGTTCTGTGCAGCAGAAATGCTGCCAAGAGTTTCCCAGCTCTTCCTTAAGGACCAGCATTGACTGAGATTGCTAGGCGGGTCTCTCCCTCACTCCTGATCACACCCCCACGAGCTGCTGCTACTGGTGGGAAGGGAGGCTGACTCTGTTGCCAGGTCGTCAAAATGGATCGCAGCATGCAGGGAGCTGTTTATTTGTTTTAATCTTAAAAGACTGGCTTATACATGTGGAACTGTTTTGGAAAAGACATGGCAAAAGGCAAAGCAAAGCATAAAAACAGTTACTGGATAGTAGCTAAGTGGTTTTTTTTAAGAAATAAAATGTAAGTAACCTTTACTCTAAAATAGAAGTATTCAAAAAGTTATTCATAAAATGGCTTCTTTTCCTATGGATGTTCCTGGCAAATGGAAAAAGGTGATTAAGGTTAAATCAATGCTTTATAGTAAGAATAAGGGTGAAATGATAAGGTCACCCCCAAAAGTGAAATGTTAAAACATGTTTTCCCTGAGATGTAAGAGCATCAGAAGTGCCACCTTTGTCAGAACCTTCTCGGTCACACCCCTGAGCTCTCTAGTAGGGACCCCAATATCCAAGGTAGACATGCTTATCCTCACTACAGACTCCGAGATCAGAGCTGCTGCCTTCAAATCAAATAAAGAAAAATCGTTTCCTTACTAACCCATTATGTCTATCACTCATGAGTTCATCTAATATATTTATATTCACACAACTTCAGTCCAAATTATTTCTCCAAATTTGCAATTCAATTTAAATAATGCAATCAAATGGGTGGATACACATGTGAATAAAGATTTGAAGTGAAGTGTGAAAAGTTCATATTCATACATGTGCCACAGTCTTAAACATGTTTTAAAAATCTTACACAGTTTATAAAGTTTTATATATCTCTGAGTAGTATACTATATGAAGGGGACTCCAATGGTAGGGTAACAAAAATTTGGCATAAAAATGAAGACAGGAATTTCTACTTTAAATTATAAAAGAGCGGCCAGAACCCAATAACTAGTCATTCAACATCTGATATAATCTCTAGAATGCAGAAACAGATTAGGATCGTCATTGCACTTACTATGACTAAGGCGGTAACAGTGCAAAATAAGGTTTGGTTAAGCTGCACTCAACAATCTAGGTCACAGAGAATGAAAAAAGAAAGCCAACTCATCAAGACTCTTTATATCAAAGAAAGAATAGAGCTTGATTAAATCAGTTACAACTTTTTTTTCCTTAAAGAGCTCTAAAAAGGACAGTTTCCGATTACATTATCATTAACTACATTTTTGTTGCTTTTATAAGACAAAGGAAGGACACAAGGATCAAGTAACAATAGGACTGGAAGAAACATTTACTAGTATGTTAGACATTAAAATTTCAATTTAAAATCTCAACATACTTGAAAGTATTGTTCTAAAACTGTTGAAAATAAATGCTCTTATAACTTTTAATTTTTTATTTACTGATTTGAGAGAGAGAGGGAGCAAGAGAGAGAAACATTGATGTGTTGTTTCACTTTTTATGCATTCATTGGTTGATTTTTAAAATATATATATTTTTATTGATTTCAGAGAAGAAGGGAGTGGGAGAGAGAGATAGAAACATCAACAATAAGAAAGAATCATTGATAGGCTGCCTACTGCATGTCCCCTATTGGGGATGGAACCTGCAACCCAGGCATGTGCCTTGACCGAGAATCAAACCCATGACTTTCTGGTTCATAAGTTGATGTTCAACCACTGAGTCACGCAGGCCAGGCCATTGGTTGATTCTTGTACCAGGTATGTGCCCTGATTGGGGATAGAACCCACAACCTTGGTGTACCGGGATGATGCTCTGACCAGCTGAGCTACCCAGCCAGGGCAAATGCTGTTACATTTTATTTATAATTAACCTTCTCTGTTTTGTGATTCTCGAAGATTCTCTCCACCTCTTGCTTTCTACCGGACAATAAATAACTAGTAAGATGAGATGGCTTAGCTGTCTCTTAATATATTTTTAGGAGAAGGAAAGGTTTAAAAAGGTAAGAGCCATGAGGTTTGACTAGTGCCATAATTGGGGGCTTTGATCCTTATCGGCAGGTACTGGTTATAGGTACAAATGTAATTCTGATAATGTCTCCATCACATGAGAAGGACCTCAGCTACTAATGTGCAAATGCCAGGAAGCAAAGGCTACACTGTTGGACAAAGCCAGAGACAGAGGTGGCCTGATAGTTCTCCACCAGGACTGTGGTACTTACGAGGCAGTGAGGTACCCCTCCAAAAAGCCGGCCACAAACATGATGACCTCGTTGCTCAGGGACTGCGAACCATACCCTGCTCTGATCTCTAGGATGCCCCAGCCTGTGGTGTTCACAGAGTTATTATAAAAGCCATAGGCATCTCCATTCTTGTCCAGTACGTCTCTGATCTCCACTGTCTTTTCAGTAGGCATCCAGTACGCAGTTGCATAGTCGACTCCTTGAAAAAACAGAAAAGGGAATAATGATAGGATGTCATGCAACTGACTTACTGATGCATTATTTTTTCTATGTAACCGACAATTCCAACACATTGGCTTTCTAAAGAATTCCATTCCATCAAAATTGGGAAATCTGCCATTATAGCTTGTCTTCCTTGCAAATGGGAGAAAAAACCAGAGCCAAGGGTCCCGGGTTCGATTCCGGTCAAGGGCATGTACCTTGGTTGCGGGCACATCCCCAGTGGGGAGTGTGCAGGAGGCAGCTGATCGATGTTTCTCTCTCATTGATGTTTCTAACTCTCTATCCCTCTCCCTTCCTCTCTGTAAAAAATCAATAAAATATATATTTTTTTAAAAATGGGAAATCTGCCATTATAGCTTGTCTTCCTTGCAAATGGGAGAAAAAACCAGAGCCTTGATCAAGGGGATGAGCACATAGCACAGTGGTTCTCAACCTCCTGGCCCTTTAAATATAGTTCCTCATGTTGTGACCCAACCATAAAATTATTTTCATTGCTACTTCATAACTGTAATGTTGCTACTGTTATGAATCGTAATGTAAATATCTGATATGCAGGATAGTCTTAGGCGACCCCTGTGAAAGGGTCGTTTGACCGCCAAAGGGGTCGCGACCCACAGGTTGAGAACCGCTGCCATAGCAGAAAGTATAAGCTAAAGGTAGGGGCATGGTTTGAACATCATAGAGGTGTGTCTAAGAGCTCCATCCTTAGAGATGGGATTCTGGTCAATGCCAGAGCTGGAACCCTTGCCCACCTCTTCATTGGGCCAAGGATAGGGTTCATGTCTCTGCTCAGCAAGGCCTTCCAATTCCCCTCTGCAGTTGGGCCAAAGCATTCGTATTCTCTGGCTCCTTATTCTATTTCTCCTGCTGAATTCTTACACATGACATTAGATTCCTATTTTGCAGAAAAAAAAATGAAAGTTATCACCTGTGACCCCCTCAAGTTCTTGATAATTTTGTGAATTCGTCCTCACAAATCCTATATTCATGTCTCTCTTCTTCACTTCAATCCCTCTCCCCAGGCATGCTCTGGATCCCACCCCTCTCACTTAGGAACTCTGTTCCATCCTAAATCTTCTTGTTCCTGTTCCCTGAAGTTCTCTCTCTGCAGCAGCTCCTCCCTGTTCAGTAAATTAACGTGTTCTACTGTCTCAGATCAAAGCAAACCAACCACAGAAGCTCTCTGTAGAGATCCTGTGGGCAGCTTTGGCTACTGGTAGAATCTCTCCCTTTATAAAACTATTACAATTTTTATAGAGCATTCTGTATTGGGGACTCTGCTAAGTGCTGGTGAAAGGGTTATGACAATGACAGGCTCACTTCCAGGTCCCATCCACTTCACTTCCTCATTTTCTTCACTTGGGCCTGTGGCAGGCTGGCACCCACCCCCACCATGCCACTGGCTGGGTCACAAATGAAATCCTTGACTCACAACATCACACAAATGCCTGAAAGTGTTTGACCCTGGTGACCACTCATTCTTAAAACTCCTCCCATGCATCTGGGACAACACTCTCTTCTGAATCTCCTCCTCCTTTGGCTGTCTTGTAGACCTAACAGCACACTTGATAACACCGTCTGGATGATTCTATAAGCATTAGGAAATTACATTATTCAAAATGAAACTCATATTTTCTCCCAATCCATCCTCCATCTTCTGCTGTCTCCGTGATTTATCAGCCTGAAACCCCAGTCCATGCAGGCCTCCTCTCTCTTTCTCTCTCTCTCTCTCTCTCTCTCTCTCTCTCTCTCTCTCTCTCTCTCTTTCTCTCCTCATGTTTAATTAAAACCTCCTAAACATCTCACCCTCCATTCTTCAGCTCTACATTTCTGTGCTACTTTAGATATCACAACTAGCCTTAACTTCTCCTCTGCCAGAGTGACCTTTCCTAAATACAAGATTGATTTGTTTACTTGACTACCCAAAATCTTCCATGGCTTTTATTTCCTAGAAATAAAATTCTTCAGCTCATACTATCTGCCTTCATGATCTGGATTCTGCCTACCTATCCAGCTTCATCCACCACCCCAGGCATTTTGTGATCTGGAAACCATTACATACAACGCTCCAACCTGCCAGGAGCTGTCCCAACACCTGTGACTTTGCATATGCTGTTTCCTTTGCCTGAGAGTTTGTCTTGTTAACCACCCAGCAATATCAAAATTGCGACTTAAGACTCAGAAAACAGCACCCACTCTGAAGGGGCTGACTTGCTCTACAAGCTCAATGTACCTTGTGTGTACAGCTTAGGTCTTATCCCTTTGTACTGTAGCTTACATGTCTGCCCTTGCTCCTAGCCTATGAAATCCTGAGGCCCAAAATTGTTTCCTCAGCATTAGGAATAGTGCTTGGCCCATAGCAGATACTCAATAAATATTTGTGAAAGGAAGAGAGACTTAGGTAAAGAGAGAAAAAAAACATACAGAAAAAAGAAATGGTATATAATGCATTAATTTCTCTGCCTAAGAAACCATTGCATAGCTGCTCAGGTTAAAGACAAACTTTATATTCAGGCCATCCAAGAGATGGGAGGAGGTCAGAATGACTCAGGTTGTAGGTTGAGAATCAGTGGATGAATGTTGTATGATTCATTGAGAAAGGGAGATGGGCAAAAGGACTAGGAAGAAATATAGGTATAGTTTTGGACATACTAAGTTTTTAGTGGTTAAGATACTTGAAATTCTAGCTCAGATTTTATATATATGTAATGTTATCTGTTGTCAACATTCAAAACTGACTCAACATTTTGCTTTTTGCTGTAACGTTATCTATCTAATAAGCACTGAAAGTACAATCTTAATCCTAGAGCATCATGACCACAATGGTGGACTTCCTTTAAAAATGGTTAAGGGGAGGTAATGACATTGACTATCAGAGGTAGGTGCAGACTACTTTGTCAACAGACTCCCAGTGCCAAACAAACAGTCTAATCCTATATAATAAAAGCCTAATATGCCAAGTGTCCGGTCAACCAGTCAGCCGTTCAACCAATCAAAGCGTAAATATGCTAATACGTTAAGGCCGCTCAACCACTCACTATGACATCACTGATCACCAGGGGGCAGATGCTCTGACTGGTAGGTTAGCTTGCTGCTGGGGTCTGGCTGATCGGGACTGAACAAGATGGGCAGGACACGCCCTGGAGCTCTCCTGTGGTCCCTCCCCAGCTAGCTGGCCAACTTCCCACCTCCCTCCCTGGCCCTGATCATGCACTGGTGGAGTCCCTCAGCCTGGCCTGCACCCTCTCACAATCCAGGTCCCCTCGGTGGATGTTGGAGAGCTGGTTTTTACCCAATCCTGAAGGCCAGGCTGAGGGACCCCACTGGTGCACGAATTTATGCAGCAGGCCTCTAATTGTTAATAAAGCCATAAATTGGCCATAACTTGACAATTGTGGGCAATATCCATAGAAACTTCCCTTCTCCTCCCAAGTACAATAAATATGCTTTCCAAATTGATTTTGGGCCACAAAGGCCATAGCCTCAGCCCTTCCTCAGCCTTTCTCACACATTCTCTTGCACCTCACCTCCAGTGAGTCTGGTAGGGAAATGAGAAAGCATGGCTGACTAAATAAAAAGCAGCCACAATTCGAGGCAGCAGGGGTGCGGTCATAAACAGGAACTGTAAAAAAAGGAAGGTAAGATGTGTCAGTTTCTTCTCTTTCAGCTCTGCCCACATAGCATGGTTTTAGCTCTATTCCCTTCTCCAAAATGTTGGCATTTTTCATCCAGCATCCAGGCCTTCCTTTCCTTTGACCTTCCATTCCAGCGGCTCCTTTTGTTATACACTTGGCTTGCTCTCAATCAAAGCACTCAAGGGCCATGGTTTCATTGTTACTGGTACTACCTAATTTCCTATTTCCTGACCACAAGTAATAAACTTCTGCAAATCTGTGGGGGGGTTTTTGACACTAGTGTGTCCCCATGCGTGAAAAAACCCTTACCTAGTCCTCATGAGAATTCAACGATAAAAATTTACTGCTAACAAGCTGACCAATTTAGCAGATGCTTTAAGAACTAAGCCAAAATCTGAGTTTCTTGACTTGCCCCTAATTGATGTCCTCCATTCCTCAATGTTTTCTCCATGTATCATCTCTTTCTGGTTTTTCGAGTACCATGCTATTTTTTTTAAATTTTCTTAAATCCTTTATTAACTTTTAAGCCATTATAGTTATTTATTTACTTATTATTATTAAAATTATATTTTTATTGATTTCAGAGAGGAAGGGAGAGGGAGAGAGAGATAGAAACATCAATGATGAGAGAGAATCATTGATTGACTGCCTCCTGCACGCCCCCAACTGGGGATTGAGCCCACAACCTGGGCATATGCCCTTGACTGGAATGGAACCTGGAACCCTTCAGTCCACAGGCTGAAGCTCTATCCACTGAGCCAAACCAGTTAGGGCTAAATCTTGATTTCTAATTGTGAATTAGAATTTTTGGTATCTTAGGTTTGCAAATGCTGATTTGTATAACTTGATACTACCTTACATTGGTATTGTGATTGCCCTTGCAAGGATGACAAATTTCAGAGCAAGCTGTGCCTTTCTTTTTTTAAAAAAAATATATTTTATTGATTTTTTACAGAGAGGAAGGGAGAGGGATAGAGAGTTAGAAACATCGATGAGAGAGAAACATTGATCAGCTGCCTCCTGCACACCCCCTACTGGGGATGTGCCTGCAACCAAGGTACATGCCCTTGACCAGAATCGAACTTGAGACTCTTCAGTCCACAGGATAACACTCTATCCACTGAGCCAAACCGGTTAGGGCCAAGTTGTGCCTTTCAAACAAGAGACTTTCACAACTTTCTATTGGAAGATTATAACATACCTGTGGTTTGTTCTGACACAGTTTCAAGTTTTAGACTAAAGTTTCCACATAATTTCACTACCTCTATTAGTTTCACTTTTTTACCACATTAAGTAAATTCCTATTTTTTCAGTAGTACAAATGAGGCAGAATAGTAAAAATTCCTTGGCAAGTAGAATGGGGAAACTGAGACAGATAGCTGATTCCCATCCCACACCCTGACCCACCAGCCTCCTACTCCGCTGTACCACCACTCCCTTAAGCATTAAACCCTTAGGACAATGAGGTTCTGATCAGCATCAAACAATATTAGAAACAAAGCTTCGGTCTGTTGACCAAAGAGACAGTGTTTTTGTCAAACTAGAGATGATATCTAGGCCTCAGTTGTGTTTCAGCTCCTGGCCCAGAAAAGCAGCAAAACCAGACGAAGTCACGTCACGGCTTGGCTAACATCAGGACCAGATGCAATGAATAATGACCCCCTACCCTCGTGCCCATCAATCAATAGAGAGCACCACCCTGAAAGGCCACACCTGGAAAGCTGATGAATATTCTACTGAGAATCTCCCCTGAGACCTTACTACACACCTAGGCTCTGTAGAGAAGAAAAATAATTTTCTCTCTTCTGGGTTCTTGACTGAGCCATCCAGGAAATAATCCTTATGCCAGATTAGAAAGAGAAAAAATAAATCTTAACATGTAAACCTCCTACATATATGAGAGAGACCCAGAAAAACAGAGTAATTCACAAAAATGGCTAAAGCAACGACCTTAACTATCATCTTCAGCTGAGGACAAAAGACGATGTTGTAGTGGGGGATTCCATTAAGGAAAGTTACTAGGGAAAGCACAGTGTAACAAGGGTAAGGTTGTTATGCAGATTTAAGTTGTTGCCTGATGCACTGATGAGAATTTCTAGAGATAAGGTCACTCCCCTCTTCCTGGTCTAGTGAGGGAGACACCTTTACAAAAGCAGATTTTAGAAAGGGAAACTTATTTGGTTTTCAGACCTCTCCTATTTTCTCTCTTTTATTTCTTTCTTCGTCCATCTTTCTGTTTTTGCTTTGAAATATATATTTGTCTTTTTAGTATATTTTTCTATCACTATTTATCCCCTCCATGCCCTCTTACGCCTCCACCCTACCCCTCCCCACTGAAATCACCACACTGTTGTCCATGAGTTCTCTGTCTATTCTTTCTTAAATTAACTAACTTAAAATAATCCTATGCCAAATAGACATATTTGGGGGTGACAAATTCTGTGCCCCTACAACTCCTGGGCTATAAACCTGTACAGCATGTTACTGTGCTGCATACTGTAGGCAATTGCAATCTGCGTGATGCATTGCACTATGAGTTACAATGGCTACGATATCACTAGGCAATAGGACTTTTTCATCTCCATTACAATCTTATGGGATCACCATTGTCTTTGCGGTATACTAAAACATCATTATGTGGCATATGACTGTATATAACTCCTACTGTATATAGCAGGCACTGTTCCTCACAACCTCTTTAAGAGATATCCTATATAATAAAAGGCTAATATGCAAATTGTCCCCTTGACCGGGAGTTTGACCAGGGGGCAAGGGCCAGCTGGTCAACTGCCCACGGCCCCTCCCCCTGGCCATCCTGCCCCCACTCCTGATGGCCCCCTGCCCCCATCGGGGTGGACCAGCTGGCCCCCACCCATGCACGAATTAGTGCACCGGGCCTTTAGTAGTGTTATAATACCCATTTTACAGATGAGGAAATTGAGGCATAGAGGATTAGATAATTTACTTAAGGTCACACAGTAACTATTGGTGCCAGGATTCAAACATGGGCATCTGACTCCACGGTTTCTGTTTGTGGAGTTCAATACTACCTCTCTAACACTATAGAGTTAACATATGGAGCAACCACTGTAAGTGAATTTGAAATAAGAATGCCTTCAGAGTTAAAGGAGTAACTGAGATTGGTCTCAACCAAAGGTCTGCTAAGTCCTTTAAGGAGATTGAAAGACTGACAGGACAGTAAACTCCTTGACAGCCACATAAAGGTATTACCTACCTAGAGAGGCAGTCTGTTAGTCTCGGGTGGACACTGGTGAGCCATGGGAGCCTGGAAAAGGCAGTGCCCACAGTCAGGAGCTAGCATGCCAGGCGAACACTGCCAGTGGAGGAGCTGATGGAAGTGGCGAGTCCTACTGGGAGGCAGACGAATCAGACCTCCATCTTTGAATCCCTCATATTATCTGTCCCATGCAGTTTCAGTATAAGAACATGCCTGGAGCAGGCTATGCAAATATCCAGTCTGCTAAAAATTAACTGGTATTTTAGTGAGTAGACTTGTGTGTTTATCAGGGTGAAATCAGCTTCCTTGTATCCTATAAGCTCTGGAGCACTGGAAAGAATGGATTTCTGGAGTCTAGCCCTGCAAGTGCGAGGGCCAGATTTGGAACCAGTTTTACCAAGGCTCATGCCATCTTACAAGTCTCTTGGCAACCAACCCATCCCTTTCCCTAGTGACAACCTGACTTCACTATACAAACAGCTTAGAAAAATTATCCAAGACATTAAAAACAAATATGGAGCATTTCAGTCTGGAAAGATGAAGCCGCCACTATTATACATCTAAAATCTCTAATAGTTTGAGAGAGAGAGAGCTAGAATGAACGTGCAATTGCTTGCCAATTTCTAGAAGAATGAAAGTACAAAGTAGTCTTTAGAAATTAAAGAGGTTGTTTGTGGATAAATAGGTGCATCTTAGTGGATATAAAATCCAAGGGGATAAAAATCCACTCCCTTGAGTATTTATCGTGAACTCACTAAATTCAAAGTACTGAGCAGGGCACTTCAGAGAAAACATGAAAAGCGAGTGGTGGCAAAGACCTGTTCTCTGTCCTCAGTTGCTGGAAATCTAGAAGGTAAGACAAAGTGCCAAAAACCTGCCTTGGAAAACTGGTGAATGGGGTGAAACAAAGGAAATAGAGATCACATCTTTTGAAACAGCCAGCGTGGCCATCACCAGCTGTCCTGCGACGCCATGTTAAGAAGTCTGTCCATACTGCCAGGCACAGGGCTGGCAGGATGACTAGTAGCAGAAATGCCCTCGCTCTCCACCTTGACTCCCAACCCACCTGGCATGGAGTCAGCTTATCTATCATTTGGGAAACTCGGTTTAAGAAGCAGTTGCTTGCCAGGCGATATCTGCTTGAATAAACAGTGTCCCATCTTCAGAAAAATAATGTGTCCACCTCCTCACTCCTCAGGCTGCCCCGCCTCCCATCTACAGAAATATTTAAAAACAATCCAAACAATCCAAAAGAACAGAAAAGGGGGGAAAATTTCAGCCAGTGTCCAAGGCACAAAAACCCTTTCCATGTCTGGGGCACTCTAGCCCATCCCGGGAACGTGTGAATGAACAGTCTCCCTGTGCTAAGAGGTGATGTCCCAGAGAGCTCCAGGGAAAGAACAGAATGTGGAAGTAAATCTAGAGCCAGGAGCCTGGGGGTGCATCACTTCCTATCTCAGAAGCCTGGGCAGCTTAACAGACTGGGAAAATTTAATAGTAGTAAGTGGGCAAGTTGTGAAAACAAAGGTCTTGATTTCTAATGGAAGGCAATCAGTGCACTCCTTTGGGAAGGGGTATGCACTCCTAAACGCCACCCTCTGCTTACCCAAGGTCAACGAAGAAAAAGGATTATGAAATAAAGCAAAATTAATCCTCTCTTTATATTACTTTTGAAGTCTTTCAAGTTTCTTTAGTTAGTATTGATCTTATTCATTGGGAGTGAAAATGACAAATCCAAGGTTTTTTTGTGGTTTTTTTTGGTGTTTTTTTTTCAAAAGGTACAGATAATTGCCAATACCTGTAGGGGATAAAACCTGTTTTACTAAAAGGGGAGTATTTAAGTAAATGCCCTTTGGCGTTTCAGCTCTGCCTTCCTATGCTGTGTATCTTTAAGCAAATTACTGAATTTCTCTTAATTTCAATTTGTTTCATCTGTAGCATGGGGATAATAATCCTATTTAGATTATTGACAATTAAGGGGGGAGGGGCGGGGGAAAGACAGCCCGGAATCGTACCTCTCTGAGGTGAATACATATATTTAGATGTCCTTTGGCTGGCGCTCTGAGGACCAGCCGGGCTCAGCAAGCCGAGTCGTGCAGGAGTGAACCGATCTGTCTGCCAAGAACTCTGGCCAACACTTTTTACGCTCGCAGGAGCACACACCCTAGTGCTTCTCCCGGGCCGGCTCGGAGCCACGCGGCGCGGGAGCGAGCCGTCAGTCCCCCGCAGAGGCGCCGTCCTTGGTTCCCACCCAGAACCCGACACCCGCGGGAAGTAAACTTGGCGGGACCCCGGGCTCGGCTGGAGCGCACGGTGGCGCTGGCTCAGCGCGCGCCGCGAGCTGCGGGCAGCGGGGGCCTCTCCCGGGACCCGCGTGGCTCACCTGCCAGGCTGGGCGGCACGGCGGCGGCCAACAGCAGCAGCAGCAGCAACAGCGGCGGCGGGGCTGACGGCGCGGGCAGCCGGAGGGACATCGCTCTGCGGCCGGGACCTCGGCTGGGTTGGACAGGCGGCCGGCAGTGGCAGCTGTTGGAAGAGCGGCTCCGAGCCGGCAGCGTGGCGCCCGTCTCAGAGTTGGAGCGTCCTTAACTTTCCTCTTTCATTAGTTCTGCTGGTTTGGGGCTTTTGAAGTCTCGAGGAAGCCTCACGTGGCCTTGGGGACAACCTTCGCCCTAGGGTGCCCCAGTCTGGGAAAGGCGGGTCCTTTCAGACCCTCTAGCGCCCAGTGGGCCGGGCTGGGAAAGTTCCCCAGCTGCACTTGTGGGATCTGGCAACGTTACGCACCACTTTCTCTGCACTCGTCGGCAGTTTTGCAGCCCCAGGTTGGTACAAACCAGTTCAGGCCAACCCCGCTAGCCTCCGTCTCCAGGGCCGGCCGCTCCTCTGCAGCAGCGGGAAGAGGCACCCCGAGCATGCCCCTGCCTACGCGCAGCTGGGATTCTTGGCCATTCCGGACAGGTCTTCACAGGTCCCGGATCCCTCCGGGATTAGCGCCCCTCCAGCCCAGGCTGTTTAACCCAAAGCCATCTGCTGCAGCTCGAGACTTTTGATCGTTTGCTTTTCTCTTCATTGGCCGGAGTCACCACTGGAGAGTGATCCGGACAGGGCGGTGAAGTCCCCATTTCGGTGCAGAGTCCTTTGCAAGTGACATTGTGAAGTAGGCAAGCACTATGCCTTTGAGTGACATTGTGAAGTTGGCGGAGGGTGCCCTAGGTGACATTGTGAAGTAGGCAAAAGGTATTTTATTCACTCACTAAGCATTTATTGAGCCCCCCTTGTGGGTCAGGTGCCAGTGGTTTTATAACAAGAGCATGCCTTACCACAGCCAAGAAGGGACAGAGCCATACAAATACACAGGCACTCCGAGGTTGCCATTAGTGCAGTGGTTCCCAACGTGGGGCACACGCCCCACAGGGGGCAATTTGATTTTTTAAGGGGGGCAATTCGCGAATGAGTTATTATAAGTGATTTTTTTCACTTCTTATGGTTCTAGGGGCCTAATATACAGTATATAAATATATATTATGACAGTTTATGCATCTCAGTTCTCTATTATGTTTTGAAATGGCTATTTTTCATATCACTTCATATTATTATTTTTAAAACAATTTCTTAGTGATTTCTTCCTCAGTACTTCAACTGTCCTTACATTCTTTTATTTTTCTCTTTCATGGATGTCATGTTCTCTGGAAGCTTGTTTAGACCAAGTTAATGGCCTTTTAGGCTTCCTCCACGTGAATAGGAGTTCACTTTTTGAATAATAAGAATTATACGTCACGGGGACGGGGCGGGGGCACATCAGGATTTTAGAGATTTTAGGTGGGGCACGGCCAACAAAAGGTTAGAATAGAGCTGTGCTGAAGGTATAGTGAGGGGACCCAGGGCGGGACAAGCCTCCACAAAGGTGGGGCCTAGGCACCCACTCTTCTCTCTTGGTATTTCTCCCAAGCTTAGCTGAAATGTTAAGGGGAGATGTGAAGGAAAGACAACCTATTTCCTGTAGCGGGAAATATGTTGGAAGGAGACTTGACTTGGGGTGGTGAGCACACAGTACAATATACAGACAGTGTATTATAGAATTGTACACCTGAAAGCTATATAATTTTATTAACCTATGTCACCCCAATAGACTCAATTTAAAAAATTGTTAGAAAGGATACAAAACAATTACTCCAAACCTCAGTGCAAATTGTTAAACACAAGTCCTGAGTCATAATTTTGTTCAGTAACCTATCACAGTACTGGGATAATAATATCATTTAGCATCGGTTCTCAACCTTCTGGCCCTTTAAATACAGTTCCTCATGTTGTGACTCAACCATAAAATTATTTTCGTTGCTACTTCATAACTGTAATGTTGCTACTGTTATGAATCGTAATGTAAATATCTGATATGCAGGATGGTCTTAGGCGACCCCTGTGAAAGGGTCGTTCGACCACCAAAGGGGTCGCGACCCACAGGTTAAGAATCGCTGATTTAATGACTGAAGGAATTGAAGACATTGTAAAAATTGCACATTTTCCTTCAAGTTAGAAAATAAAAGTGAAGGAAAATAATGAACATTTGGTTGTGCCATGTTGAGAAGAGAACTGCATTAGTGCATTCAAGGAAGTTGTTCTACCCAAATACTGTAGTCCGGCTATCCTTTACTCCCTTCTCCACCTTACCCTTCCAATCTCTGGAGCCTGGTGTTCAGACGCCGTCATGTATATAAAAAGGCCTGATGTGAACTACGAGACACTTATTCATCTATTATTTGGTGATCAAATATTTGTTGACTTCCATGGTCCAGGCATAGAATGGTAAATGACAAAGTTGCTGCCCTCATGGAGCTTGCATTTTAGTGGGGGAAACAAATTATACGTAGAAACAAATTAATTGGACCAGGGTTCCTCAACCTCAGCACTATGACATTTTGGCCCTTATAATTCTTTGTTGTGGGAGATTCTCCTATGCATCACCTGGTCTTTGTCCTCTGGATGCCAGTATGACCCCCACTCCCAAGTTGTGACTATCAAAAATGTCTTCAGATATTACCATGTTCCCCTAAAAGGCAAAATTACCCTCAGTTGAAAATGACTGAATTAGATGAAGATGAACCTTGCCTCCTTTAACCCTTTGAGTGCCAACCAATATCCTAGGAACTATGCTAAAATTGCCAAGGCATTTTTGCTGATTTTACAGCAGGAAAAAAAATATGAAAATTAGGCAGATAAATGCCAGTGGTCAATTTTAGAACCACAAACATTCGGCATCGTAAGTAATCTGCACTTAGGTGCCATCTGTCAATAAAGAGTGAACTACTAGCATCTAATAGTGACACTGCAGAAGGAGCGCGATAGTGCTCCCGGCACTTTTGGGGAAAGACAGGAGGAGTGTGATAGCGCTCCCCGGAACTCTAGAGGTTAAATTGTGCAGGGTTTGTATATCTGGGAAGGAAATGAACAGCAAAACTTATACCAAAGCTGAGAGGAGGATCCACGGAGGTGTTGACTGTGAAATGTTTTTATTACTTCCATAGTAGACACCTGTGGTTTGGGGCTGCTTACCATCCATTACCCTACACCGGGTACCAATTTTTCATGAATGTGGACTCCACTGGTTTAGAAGTTTCAGCGAACAAGGGAGGAAATATGTTTCCACCAAGAGACACAATAATAATTGCATGGAATTGGAATATAAAATTGCTGCATGGTCTCTATTGGGTTGTTGTTGTTTTTTGTGGGGAGGAGGGGAGGGGATGGGCAAGAATAGGATTATAGTGTTAGAGTGATTGAGCCTGACTATTGAATGGAATCAACCTTGTTCCACAGAAGGAGAAGGAAGCAATAAAAGGAGCTCAGGGGAGTTCTTTATATCACCATGTCCTATTGAAATGGATTCCAAAGTGCCGTCACCTCATCTAGGCAGCACCACCAGGAACTTAGGGTCCATACCCAATGGACAAAGAACCCCAATAAGCTGAAATGCTGATGCAAAGCAAGGGGGGCATGGAAAGGAGGTGGAGAATCATGAATATCTTCAGCTGCGTGACCAGTTGTAGAAACAGAGACAGCGGCCTCTGTACTTCTTTCCTTGCTGTAACATATACAATATATGGTGGGTTTGAAATTTTACATTTCCAGAATGCAATGTATATAGTGTAAATTTGTTTCTTTCCCAAAAGGTATAATTAATTTAGCACCCAAACACTTATTCACTGATGGTAGACATTTTATAATGCCAAATTTAAGGTGTTTGGACTAAATCCTTAGCATCCTTTGCCTCCTCCTTATCCTTCTCCCTTTTCCTTGAGGTTGATTTTAGTTTCAGGGGCTTATGCATGACCTGATATTGGATAAAGGGCATCTACTCTGTGAGTCATTCTCTTTGCTTAGTGGCCTCCGGTGAATGTAGCCTCTCTCTTCTTGTCCTCATTGCGGTGTGCAGGAATCCACTGTTAACATTTCCCGCCCTTGGCCTCAGGTCTAGGTTCCTACACACTTGGTGTATTAGTTAGGGTAATGCTAGTGTTAACAAAAACTCCAAAAGAAATTAAAAGAGTTTTATTCATATATGATTTGCAAATCAGAACGAAGCCCTCAGTATGAATCAAAGACACCCTCTGAGATGGAAGGTGGGGAGTGAGGAATGGGGAGGGGAGAGAAGAACATAGTTTTTATTTTATGTACTTATTATTTTTTTATTGTTGACACTATTAGAGATGTCCCCCATTTCCCACCTCCTTTTGCCCACCTCCAACCAGCTCCCGGCTCCCCCTCCCTTAGCCTTCACCACACGGCTATCTGTATCCATGGGCTACACATGTATGTAATCCCTTCACCTTCTTTTATTCAGTCTTCCCCAAACCCTCCTCCCTTTTAAAAAAAATATTTTATTGATTTTTTTACAGAGAGGAAGGGAGAGGGATAGAAAGTTAGAAACATCGATGAGAGAGGAACATCGATCAGCTGCCTCCTGCACACCCCCTCCTGGGGATGTGCCCGCAATCAAAGTACATGCCTTTGACTGGAATCGATCCTGGGACCCTTCGGTCCACAGGCTGACGCTCTATCCACTGAGCTAAACCGGTTAGAGCACCCTCCTTCCTTTTGACATTTGTCAGTCTGTTCCATGTATCCATGCCTCGGGTTCTATTTTGTCCTTTTATATTCTTCATTATGTCCCACATTTAGTGAAGTCATAGATATTTGTCTTTCTCTGACTGGCTTATTTTGCTTGCCATAATAATCCCTGGTCCATCCATGCTGGGTAAGAGTTCCTTCTTTTTTACAGCTGCATAATATTCCACGGTGTAAATGTGCCACATCTTTTTTATCCACTCATCTATTTATGGGCACTTGGGCTGTCTCCAGATCTTGGGTATTGTAAATAACTGCTATGAGCATAGGAGTACATATATTCTTCCTGATTGGTGTTTCTGGATTCTTAGGATATATTCCCAGAGGTGGGATTGTTGGGTCAAAAGGCAATTCCACTTTTAATTCTTAGTGAAACTCCATACTGTTTTCCACAGAACAAAGGCCTTGGATCCAGCAGTTCCAGTACAAGGAGTGTTGCTTATCAGTTGCACAGGAAGTATGATTTACTAAACAGCACAATCAGCCCAGGGGGCTGCTTGCCCTGCAGGTGGTTTCAGGGCCCCAAAGGGCAAGGTCATGCATGCCTTGTTAGCAGCTTCAGAGCTCCAGCTGCAAAAATCCATATGTTGGGCCACAAGTTATGGTATTAAAAGTTCTTCTAAGTCATCACTAGCTCCTAGGTTAATGCAACAGAAGTTAATTTCTGGCTGATATTCAAACTCAGTGTGGGAGTTCTTAACTGGTAGGTGGCTTTCCTGCATGTAGGAACTTTGGAACCCAGCCTCCTTTTATCTTGTAGTCCCATTGTTTCCTAAAGCAGAGGTTCCCAATCTTTCTTGGTTCAGAGTGCCCTTAGAATCTCAATATAGTATTCTTGGGGCTGCAGGCAAAAAGAAATATCTAACGCTTCCTTTAAATAGTTAGGGACAATTTAATAATAGTAGTAATTTGCTCAGTGTCCTGGGTAGTACTATGTTTTCCTCAAAAATTTATAATACCCCCTTATCTGTGGTTTCGATTTCCATGGTTTCAGTTACTTACTGCCAACCATGGTTTTAAAAAAAATTAAATGGAAAATTCCAGAAATGAACAATTCATAAGTTTTAAGTTGTGTGCTGTTCTGAGTGGCATGATGAAATCTCATGCCATCCTGCTCCATCCTGCCCAAGATGTGAATCACCCCGTGTCCAGCATCTGCACGCCGTATACACTTCCTGCCTGTGAGTCACTCAGTAGCCTTCTCAGGTATCAAATCGACTGTTGCAGCACCGCAGTGCCTGTGTTCATGTCACCCTTATGTTACTTAATAATGGCCGCAAAGTGCAAGAGCAGTGATGCTGCAATTCGAATATGCCAAAGAGAAGCTGTAAAGTGCTTCCTTTAAGTGAAAAGGTGAACGTTCTCAACTTAATAAGGAAAAAAAAAATCACATGCTGAGATCTATGGGAAGTGCCAATCTTGTATCTGTCTAATTGTGAAGAAGGAGAAAGAAATTCTTGCTAATTTTGCTGTCACACCTCAAAATCAAAAGTTATAGCCACAGTGCATGATAAGTGCTTAGTTAGGAAGGAACAGGCATTACATTTGTGGAAGGTGTGAACAGAAAACTTGTTCTTATTGACAGCAACGTATTAGACCAGAAAACGTTGAGCCCATACGAAGACTTCAGCAAGGGTTCCCCTGAAACAAGTGACCACATTCACCTTTTATTACAGTATATTGTTGCAAGTGTTCTATTTTATTAGTAGTTATTGTTAGTCTTGTACACATATAGGAAAAATGTATAGAGAGTTTGCTACTATGCAATTTCAAGCATCCACTGGGAGGGTCTCAGAAAGTATCTCAAATACCACTCTTGGTTCATTATAGTGTTTTCTACTGATATTACACTTTCCTGCCAATATTTAATATATCCTATGTATCCCCAGTGAATTCACTGTGGTTGTCAAACTATATGCAGGAACTATGATCCTAGGGCTTGGAGTCTTTTTAAAAATATCTGTTGTGTTATTTTCATTCAATCTATTTCTTTCAAGCATGCTATCTTTTTATTTTATTTTTAAAAATATGTTTTTTTTATTTTTAGAGAGAGGGGAAAAGATAGATAGAAACATCAATGAGAGAAACATTGATTGGCTGCCTCCCGAATGCCCCCCACTCGGGATTGAGCCTGCAACTGGGGCATGTGTCCTGACCAGGAATCAGACTAGTGACCTCTTGGTGCATGGGTCAATGCTCAACCCCTGAACCACACTGGCCTGGCTTGGAGTCTTTTATTTATTTATTTATTTATTTATTTATTTATTTATTTATGCAAGCAATCGAGCATTTAATCTGAGGCATCTCTATGGAAACAAAAGAAAAACAAAGGTTAATGATTGAAGCAGACTACCAGTATAATCTCGGTTTCTGAGTTTGGAAGGCAGGCGGTCAAGATTTCTATATGTCTGTCTTGAACATCTTCAGATGGAGTGAAGGTGGCAGCTGCAGTCTGATAGATTTCTCCTGGTCTACAGTTTGAAAGTCGATGGTTTTGGAGTCTTTTCTTCCAGCCAGAAGAAGTATGGGGGCAGCACTCCTACTTCTTGATCATTTCTGTTCATAATCTACTGGCAATAACCACACATCTTGCCATACCTACTAGTATATGCTCAAGAGGCTGGGGAATGCACCCTTCAGCCAGGGTGTCACCTCTTGGTATGGAAACAAGAACACACATTTTGGTAGGCACCCAGCTATTTCTGATACTCTTGGCCACCTCTTCATGCAGACCTGGATTCTATTGGGTCCTTTGGCTCATTCTCAGGTCCTTCTGAGCCCTCAGGTATGGCAGTGGGGACTTAGAGATACTCTGGTTTAGTGTGTGCCAAACAGTGAGACTACCTTCGGGTTCATCTCCCCAAACATCTCCCTCAGTTGTTGTTACTCTACAGCTCAAGTGCATGTGGGTCACAGAACTCTTTCTCAAGGTTTGCAAGCTTGTGGCTACATTCTGGAGAGTTTAAACACAATCTCCTCAGCTCTGGTATTTCTAGACCTACCTTGAATTTCAATGACCAAATATGTCCCCAACCCACCCCACCCCACCCATCAAGCAGGCAACTCATGTCCTGGAGGAAGGGTGGTGCTGGCCCTTTCATCAACCCACTATGTATCTTCTTTCTTTTATTTAAAAAATTTCTTTCATTCTTAACCAACGGAGCTACCAGGCCAGGGCTGTATTTTCTTAGCAATGCTACAAACTTTTTACTTATTTGGCTAGAAACGAATCCAACACATATTCCAATTTAATGTTGTTGGATATACTTTATGTCCTTTTATTTCAATCTGTGTCTTTCAATGTTCCAAGCCAAGCTTTGAATATCAAAATATTTTTCTCTCTCAGATTTTACATTTTAATGGACTTCAACACACACTATGGCTTCTTTCCACTTAAGACCTCAGAAAGCTTCACATTTTATTCGTTCATCTTTCAATATTTTTGTTTTTTCTTCCAGCAATAAGCCATAGACAAATTTGATGGTGGAAGATTTACTAAGTTAAACAAGAACTTCTCAGAAGAAAAATGTGTAGGGTAGTATTTTAGACTACTGTTCAAGTGTTCTTCTGTATATTTACTTCTGTAATTAATTTTCCTTTTATGGACTATGTTTTTGTCCTACATTATTGTGTGTAGGTTGTTTTGATAGTTAAACTTAGCACTTGGTCCTTAAGTTTTAGAATACTGCATTTAGATTGCTGCAGAACCAAAGAAAGAATGGACATTTTTCAGAAATCCTGGGTTTGGGCTTGATGCCTGTGGAGCTTGCTTTGAGCAATTATAAAACAATTCTGTACTGACTTCCTAACCTCTCTGCTTTTTATTTGCCTAACTCTTATATAAGTTGCCATCCACTATAATTTCCACACTGCTGGTGTCTTGTAAATTGAGTACACAAAAGAGGGCCTGTCATTGGTTAGTGACTGTAAGGCCACTAGCATGTCCTGGCTTGAGGACCATGGTATAAGGGTGAGATGTGAACCAGGAATGGGTTGACTGTAGCAGGAAAGGTGCTGGTTAAGAGAGGTTTCTGTACAAGTTGAATACTGCTTAGATGGTTTAGTATAATTTTACTAGAGGCCCAGTGCATGGATTCATGCACTGGTGGGGGGCGTGGCCTGCGGGATTGGCCCGCTGTGGGAGGGCCACTCATCCCGGTCAGCGAGCGGCGCTCCCACTGTGGGAGTGCACTGACCACCAGGGGCGTCTGGTTGAGCGTCTGCCCTCTGGTGGTCAGTGTGCATCATAGCGACTGGTCGACCTGTTGTTCTGGTCATTCTGCTGTTTGGTCATTGGGCTTTTATATATATAGATTCTCTCTACATGACAAACATGAACTTTTTACCCTGCTGATAGGCATCTTCATCCCCATCATTTACCTCCCAAGAGGCTGAAAAACTGCTGGAATAGTTTTAGGGTCACAAGCATTTTCTGCATTGTTTAAGGGATGTAATTTTTTTGCCTGACAGTTCCTTTTTCATAACTTCTCTACCTCTTTTCTACCTCTTTCCTAATCTGAGTGGCTACATCCTGGACTAGCTGCCACCAACTTCCTCTATTTACCTTTCTTCTCTCCCACTCTTAATATCTTTTTAAAAAATTGTTTTATTTTTTTAATATATATTATTGATTTTAGAGAGGAAAGGAGAGGGAGAGAGAGATAGAAACATCAATGATGAGAGAGAATCATTGATTGGCTGCCTCCTGCATGCCCCCTACTGGGGACCGAGCCTGCAACCCAGGCATGTGTCCTTGGCTGGAATCGAACCTGGCACCCTTCAGTCTGCAGGCCAACGCTCTATCCATTGAGCCAAACCAGCTCAGGCTCCCACTCTTAATATATTACTATCTGCTTTCATTCTATGGACAGTAGTACAAATGCCAAATAAAAACAATAAGCAAAACACAATTCTTTCTTATTGGTGTTCAACCTTGACTGTACTAGTATATGCACAATATTCCTGTATTAAATGTCCCCAATCTTTCGTAGGTTACAGGAAAGGACTAAAGCCTGAATGGTACATGACAATCTATATATATAAAAGGCTAAGTAACTGACCATACGTACATCCAACCGTCCGACTGACTGACCAGCTGGTATGTATGATGTGCACCAGCAATTTAAAAATAAACGTTGACTCGTACATGTTGCAGTAATGTAATTACCGCACGAATTAATTTTCTCTCTCTCTCTCTCTCTCTCTCTCTCTCTCTCTGTCTCCCCCTCCCTTCCTCTCTAAGCTTGTCCTTGGGGGAGGACTTTATTTTTTAAGTTCTTGATAAATATTCAATGAATCTGCCTGCTACTGATATTTTAAAATGAAGACAAGGCAGTTAATTCTTGGAAAGTGGCTAGAAATTAACATTTAAAGGTAACCCAGGGTCAAAACTCTAGAAAAGGTGACTAGGAAAAGATCCTATTTCAGTTTAGTTGGTAAACTAGATGAGCATCTCCTGGATACAGAGAGCTGAGTTAAAACTGTGCTATCAATCTTCCAAACAACTGTAGTCTGAGAAGGGCGTTCGGAGGGAGTGGTGCCAGGGAAAATTTGAATACTCTGTTGAGAACCACATGCTGCTAGCTCTTTCAATTTAAAGATGAGTGATCAGAAATAAGAACCAGCACAACATGGAATATTTTTAAAATATTGCAAAATGAGGGGAAGGGGACGTCATCTTGAAATCTCAGATTTCTAAAAGCTACCAATTTTCGGAACAAAAAAAAATTTAGAACGTGTTTTAGCATCTTCTATAAGATATGAGAAATATATAGCCTCTATTTACTAAGAGAAGAAAGTTTATAAAGAAAAACAGGTTGAAAAGAAAGTTCATGAGATGAAAGGGGAGATGTATAGAATATGAAACAGTTGGTTGATAGAAAGCTAAAATTTAATAGTAGAATTTACATTTGCTACTGGAGGGTGATAGTAAAGAGCAGAATATAACACTGTTGAAAATTGAGCCAGTAATTTGAAGGACAGATTGATGAGGCCTCCAAAACCTAGAGGGTGAAGAAAAATACAAAAAGGAAGATGAGAGACACAAATGACTTTAGAAATCATCCTAAGAATGATATGTGTTCCTGAAGATGAAATTGAACTAATTGGAATCAAAGCACTGGTCAAAATACTATGAAGAAAACTTTCCTGAGCTAAATAAACAAGTCTGAGTGTTTCTCCTAAAATGATGTAATGGAAGGTGCACATCACCTATGTGGTCGTTTTGGCAAAAATATTTAACCCTGAATCAAATAATGAAGATAAAATCTGGCTTCAGCCAGGTTCATGGGCATGTGGCAAGTGCCATCAAATACAGCCCACCCTTAGGAGGGACCCATGCTTGGTTTAATCGTTTGTTTTCACTGTCTTGAAATTCTTACTAATTTCTGAACAGAGCACCATGCATTTTCATTTTGTACTGGGCCTCACAAACTATTTAGCCATTTCTAAATCTGGTAAATCCAGACTGTTAGCTACAAGATAACTAGCTTATATTATTTTTTAAGATGTTAGTTGCTTAATAGACAAGGCATTCCTCCGACCTCCCACCCCCTAGGAAAAATACATAAAGGAAATACTCGTCTGGGTTAAAGGCAGTAAAGAGACGTGACAAACAATGTGTGATTTTTAACTGGATCGTGAATGGAGTGCGCGCGCGTGTGTGTGTGTGTGTGTGTGTGTGTGTGTGTGTGTCTATAAAAGATCTTTTTGGGGAGAACATTTGGAGAAATTTATTTATTTATTCATTTAAAAAATATATTTTTATTGATTTCTGAGAGGAAGGAAGAGGAAAAGATAGATAGAGACATCAATGATGAGAAAGAATCATTGATTGACTGTCTCCTGCATGCCCCCTACTGGGGCGTGTACCCTGATGGGGAATTGAACTGTGACCTCCTAATTCATAGGTCAACACTCAATCACTGAGCCATACTGGCTGGGCCATTTGGAAAGACTTAAATAAATAAGAACCATATATTGGATGGTATTGAATATTTCTGGAATTGTTGGGTGTGAAAACAGTATTGTGGATATGCAGAAGGATGTTCTAGTTTCTAGGGGACATACGTAAGTGTGGTAAAATGTCATGGTGTCTGCAACTGACTTTCAAATGGTTTGGTAAAATAATAAATGTACCCATGGAAAGAAGTAAAATAAATGTGCCCCCTCCTGCAAGAATCCTTTCAGCAAACATTTTTTTTTTAAGGGATAGCTTTCAATGGCTATTTTTTTCATTGGCTTCTGAGCTGGCTTTTACATCTCCTAAACCTCCCTTTCTGTGCTTCCTCCAATACCGGAGCTCTGGGAGCCTCCTACCTCTCCTCTCTCAGCAGCCAGCACATTCCTTCTCTTAAGCACAATGTATCTCAAGTTTAGATCCATCACATCAGTCCAGGGGCCCTGGAGCTAAACCTTTCTTCACCTTTCAGGCTTATCAAAGCCTTCTCTCAACAAAGGTGAGTGTCTCAGTAGGAGTAATTGCATACTAGTTAGTAAGACAATAGTAGATACTGAACTGGTACAAAAGTGAACCAACAAAAACAAATGAACAAACAAAACCCATCAAAAACCAATGGATGCAAGACACTGGGGGGTGGGAGTGAGGGCATGTGCAGGGGGGTAGGGGAGGCCAAGGAAGGTCAATGGGGGAAAAATGAGACATATGTACTACTATTTGTAATACTTTAACATAAATAAATAAATAAATAAAATAAAATAAAATAAAATAAAAACCCAACAAAACAAGCAAAAACACTGTGAACATTCCAGTGTGTGTGTGTGTGGGGGGGGGGGGGGGGCGGAGGGAGGGAGATGGAAAATGTTACCTAGAAGGTATTAAGAATCAGACTGACTTTTCCCATGGAGAATCATCTAAAGACTTTTTGAGGGAAAAGGTTGTGGCCATGATATTTTATAGTGAGTTAATTTTAGATCATGTGTTAGGGTAACACATTTTCAAGGATTCAGAAAATAGAACTTCTATGAATCTTTTAAATAATGTATTTCAACTAAGTGACAAGTCAAAGCTAAGGCCTGAATAGGGAAGTCATGATGTACAGGGGAATCTCTCACACAGTTTAGTAAATTCAGGACCTCAAATTCAAGAATCAAGTTGCTTCTCTATTAGGATATTGTGCAACGTAGGGGGCAGCTTGCTCCTCAGTGCTTCCACTAGCAGCACTGTGCTTTCCTTCTGCTTCCTATTCTTGCCTGCTGACACAAGGTGTGTTTCTCAAGCTATATTCTTCATGTTGCCGATTGGTTCCTTGTTGTGATTGATAACCATTGAAAGCACTTGTGGGTGCTTTCCTGTTCAGCATTTGCAATCCAGTTATTTGGTTGAAACACTGTGTCAACAAGGATTACACAATAAAATCAAAATTGCATAAAACCATAGTGGCCATCGTTGTTGCCAAATAAATTGAGCAATGATTTTCTACATCCTGACAACTTCTCTTTTTGTTAAAAAAATTATTCATTTGGGAGAGAGAAACATTGATTTGTTGTTCCACTTATTTATGCATTCATTGATTGCTTCATGAATATGCCCTGACCGGAGGTCGAACCAGCAACTTTGGTGTATCAGGATGATGCTCTAACCAACCCAGCCAGCATCCTGACAACTCCTCTTGAATAACAAATCATGTTTTTCAAATATTGGCTATGAAAAACAAAAGACTCAGGGGCAATCTTTACTAGTCAGGAAGCCCATCCTCTTATTGTTCATCTTCTAGGGAATGATCCTGTTACCTAGACTTGGGCAGAGTTGGGTCTTTGGCTGAGCTAAACGAGGATTTACATTTGGGTGTGTCTGATGAATGCATGAGTTCACATGTATATATCTACCTGAGTTGATTTGTACTGAGAAGGAAACTGAAGAAGTAGATTTGTTGTGGGCTCTTGGGGTAAAGTGGAGTGGGTGGGAGAAGGAAGAAGGAATGGAGAGAAAAGTGTGGTGTCTCTTACATAACTTGTCTGCCTGTTACCCTGGTTTGAGGTCTTAGAAGAGAAAGGGCCTTCAGGCAGAGGTAGAAGAATCAGATTTCAAGAAGTTTTCGAGACTTGGGACCATTAGAGAATTGTTCTGATGCCAGATGACAGCAGGAGCTATGGAGTGAGGTAAGAGAAGCAAACTTTCCAGGTCAGCATGTCTTTCACTATGTAAAACCAGCAGGGAGGGCCAAATTGCATTATCCTATTAAGAAAAAATAAATATGTATGTGAAACCTCACCATAATTCTAAGAGCAAAGTCCAAAAATTAAATGGTTTAGTATAAGAGAAATAGTTTTGCAAGGTTAATAAAATAAAAATGGTGGCTGGGTGGAGGATGGGTATCAACTGCCAATTGTATCATAATGGAATTTGCTTAACTGCAGATATATATATTCCACTGGTAGCTATGATGTGTACTGACCACGAGGGGGCAGACTCTCAATGCACAGGCATGGAAACATGGAACAGACTGATCAATCTCAGAGGGAATTGGGGAGGGTGGGAAGAGATTAACCAAAGATCTTATATGCATACTAGAGGGCCATGCACCGGTGGGGTCCCTCAGCCTGGCCTGCAGGGATTGGGCCGAATCCATGTACCAGGCCTCCAACATCCCTCGAGGGGGTCCCAGATTGTGAGAAGGTGAGGCCAGTCTGAGGGACCCCCCCTGTGCACGAATCCATGCACCAGGCCTCTAAAAAAAAAAAAAAATAGGATATATATATATATATATATATATATATATATATATATATATATGTAAATGGATGGACACATTTTTTAAGCGAGCCTGGGGAAGAGAAGCAGGTTTGGCAAGGGAAATAATTATGTGAGCATATTATAATGGATATCTCTGTGTTGTGGGATTTGGAGTGATATTTTCCCCACATGTCAGTAGTCTCCAAAAGTTCTATGATGGGAATATAGTAGTTTTCTCATCTAAAAATTTTATTTTAAAAATCCATAGAATATTTTATTTTATCTAGTCAAAATAAAAGTATTTGAAGGTGTCTTGACTAAATAAATCCTCTTAATAGACTGTAACTGTAACCAGGAGTTTTAAATTGGCTATTGTACACTTGGCAACATAAAGTATATTTCAG